GAATTAAATGAATTAAATGAATTAAATGAATTAAATGAATTAAATGAATTAAATGAATTAAATGAATTAAATGAATTGAGTATGACATTAATACTTACAAACAAACAAAACTGATGAGAATTATGAGTAAATCCTTAATAATTTGGATATAGATTAGCATTGATGATGAACTTGAGAGTATTGTATATACTGTGTGCGCAAGTAAATGTTATTTGCGAGTCTGTATACCATAAAGATATCGGATTTTATTTATTAACATTTATTAACGTTAAATATTTGTTATTAGCCACGTGTGGTTATTCATCCACATCCACATCAACATTAACATTAACATTAACATTAACGTTAAGTGGTAATTCATGCGATACATCCCTTAACGTTAATCTGTTTATCTGTTAATCTGTTAATCTGTTAACGTTAATCTGTTAATCTACTACGTATCATTATCGCCATCCTCAAAAGATAAGTATATGAATTTGTCCGATATCAGAGATTAGTACAGTATGTACTTTCATGCATACATATTGCATGTTGCAGTATTGATATAACAGTAGATATAACAATATAAGGGGCTTAATTCCAGTCAGGTGCACCTTCCAGAATCTCCACCAGCATCTCCAGGCAGGGGGCAACTTTAAGCACAGCATATGCATATTTTAACCTCTGTTATTATTCATCCACTAACGTCAAGAGGCTAAAACCCAATCTTTACTATTTGTTTTTAATATAATCATAACAAAAACGCGTTAAACAATTTTCTTAAATAATTGTTGTAAAAAGTAAGGGGAACCCTTTACCATGTATTATTATCCAATTGTATCATAGAATTACAGCATAAAATTATTAATTCATTAATTAATAACAAAAACGATAATGATAATGGATGGTAATGGACGTTTTTTAAATGTTATTGTGTAATGAACGTCTTTTTAAATGGCACCACAAAACGTTAAGGAAAAACGTAGTGAAACATCAAAGAAACCGTGGAACGTTGAAGTGTACATTAAATGTTGAAGGAAATTGTCCTAGACAAAGATAAACTGTAGATTATGTAGATTATGTAGATTATATAAACCTAATATTTGATATTTAAATACGGTAATATCTGATACGTTATATAATTAGCTCGAGCTACAAGACGCGATTAGTAATAATTATTAGGCATTCAATTCATTATACATATTTAATTAAAAACTGCAGTTGTGCAGATTGAAATTTATGAAAACAACCTTGATTTAATCACCTTAAACTACAGTTACCAGAACTTATTTACGGTAACATTAATTTAGTTGTATGTATTGATTCAAAAATAATAATTGATAATTACTATTATACGGCAGCTTACCAACAAAATAACTCGAATAATGCAGTAATGACGCAATCATCATCAAAGTCATTCTGTTGGTTCGGTCGTCGTAACTACCTATCTGGATAATACTGCTATTGAATGCTACGCAGCCAATAACTTATTTGCGAATTTAATGTCATTTCTGGGTCCCTTTGGGGTCCAGAAGAAATTTCACAGCCAGATAATGGAGTATTTTTCTGATAACCCGTTATTGGCTGCTTCGCGTCCAATAACTCTATTATTTTTAATTAAGCATATATTGATTCGAAATACACGAATTAATACCTCCTACGAAATAAATCGAAATAAATTTAGTATCTATACTAGACATTAAAAATATAATATAATTTTAAAATACATCAACTTTTTATAGAAGAGAACAAAGTTACCAATCAGATTCTTTATCAGATTTTTAAAAATTTTGATCTTGTAAAAACTCATTTAAAATTGAAACATATAGTTATTATATATAAAACAATAGTAATCTTTAAAATCCATTAACTTTTTATAGAGGATGTTTCAAAAAGATATTTGCCAAATTTATAAAACTAATATTGCGCTATAAAGTTACTGGCCAGTTTCATGAAAAACCTTTTGCATAAAAAGGTATTTAAAAAATTGAAATATGTCTAGTATATACTATTAGCACCATATTATTTTAATATAGAACAACGTATTTTTATAAGCAAATTAATTTTTATTTTTTATATCATTGAATGTAATCTTTATTCCAAACACTTTAAATTAATCTAACATTAATCTAAAATTTTTATAGTCTTTTAGAGAAAAAAGGTTGTTGTTATTGACACAAGTGTATATTAAACTAAAATCTATATGTGCAATCTGACAATATTTAAATAAAAGTATTGCCAATAATAAAGACTATTAGTCATTCATTTTCTTCAGAATTAGGATTTTCCATTTTTTTTTTCAGAATTAGGATTTCCCAATGTTGGTAAACGAATGTAAGGTTGACAAATCCAATGAGGAAATTTCTTATAGCCATTTACATCATTTTCAATAGCATTATCATAAACATGGCTAGCAGCCGTTTTCTAAATGGTAGATAAATTATTAATTTAAAAAAATTTTTTTAGAAAAAAAAAATTTTTTAGAAAATAAACAAATTAAATACCATCAATCGACTTTGTAGTTCATTAGACAACGCACATATCTCTTCAAAAGTAGCAACTTTAGCTAATTGTTCTCTTAAATCCACATGAAATGGAAGTGCTGGTCTATATATTTTAAAAAGGTGCGCACGAATATAGCCAATTTTTGTTGGAACTGTTCGACAAATGTCTAAGTATTCATTTGCTAATTGCCAAGTTGGCAAATTACTACCTGAAAATATGGCAGGATTGTAAAGATTACCCTCTGCAGACATAACTCCATCAACACCTGTAATATTAATACAACGTTCAATATCTTCAAAATAAAGAATGTTTCCATTGGCAATGACGGGTATATTAAGCGCTTTCCTGAAAATAAATTTATTTAATATTTAGAAATATAATATTGTAAACATATATTATAAATTGAATACCTACTTGACTTGACTAATTTGTTCCCAATCTGCTAACGCAGAATTGTGACCTTTTTGGTCGCGAATACGACCGTGTACGGTCAATAATTGTGCACCAGCACTTTCAATCATTTTAGCATACTTTATTGTTTTTTCCACTTCTGGAAATATTCTTATCTTGGCTGTTACGGGTATTGATAGGTTTTCATGGAGAATATTTACTGTAAAAAAAAGAAATATACATATACATATATTATATATTAAATATATATATATATATATATATATATAATGTTATAAGCATAAATATTCAATAAATTCAATAGATTAAATAGATTAAATAGATTAAATAGATTCAATAGATTAAATAGATTAAATAGATTAAATAGATCTATAGGAATTTGCTAAAGGAACACACCCATGTGCACACTCTTTAAATTAAAGCACACACCTTATAATAACTAGTCTTAAAGTACACACACAAGTGTGTCCTTCTGAAACTCACTCAATTTGTAAATTAAATCCCATTCATCTTGTAAAAAAGCTCCATAATGACCACGTTTAGCGATATGTTGTGGACATCCTAAATTCAGATCTACTGCATCACAATGGTCCTGTATTTTTAAGGCGGCTTTGAGTAATGTTTCTGGATCATTAGCACAAAACTAAAATATTTATAAAAATATTTATAATAAAAATAATAAAAATAATATGTATAAAAAAAAAAAGTTTAATAATTTATAATTTATAATTTAATAATTTAATAATTTAATAATATTTATAACGATAATACATATTAATTGTTAAATGATAAAACGAACTTGTACTATTAAAGGACGGTCATTTTCTCCAGTTGACCATACGTCGGTCCGATATTGTTGATTTTTTTCGTCACAAAACATTCTTGCATGAATCATAGGGGTGTAACATACTTGAGCTCCATATCGGCGAGATAAAATCCTCCAGGCATATTCGGACTGATCCACCATAGGGGCGAGGAAGTACTTGGCATTTTTAAGCACCGTTTGATAAAATTCATATCCTTGAAGTTTCCTGTGTTGAGACATTTCACTATTTATCTATAACGCGATTCGTGCATTTATCTGTATACCAGATGCCACTTGATGATCGGTATCACATAATGTATACCTACTAAATGTACTAGATCACAAAAATCCTTTTTTAAAAGATTATCTATGAATTATAATGAATTATATATTATCGAATTATAATGAATTATATATAATGATTTATAATGAATTATAAGTGGGGGTATATTTTGACGTATGAATCTTACCTAATAACTTAAATTTATAAAGCCTGAAACCATTTTTTATGAAATCATATATTTCACGATCGATATCGTAAACAGTTAGTCCCATAGTTTCTCACTGGTATAGTCTCCTCACTGGTTTAATGTACGTACGCCCTTTACCTTACTTTTTGTTTAAGGATAGTGAATGTTGTGAATACTGATACAGTTCCTGTATTATCTTATCATATTATCAAAAAAAGTAATTTTTTTAAGTTTAAAGATGACTCAAAATGTCATAAATAAGTCTGCGCCACAGATTTTCAATGGCTATCATTTACGCATATTGCGATTTTTACTTGTTCTCAATGCGTGCGCGAAATTTTACCTGTGTCACATGCGATTCATTATTGCATTGTTTACGTATAATTTGGTAACTATCGTGACCATAGTATAAACAATCTCTTTCTCTTCGACCAATTTCTAATTTTTTTTTTAATGATTTACATTCCTTTTTTTTGCATCCCAAATTTTAATTTAAGATTTTACACAACCGTTAAAGTCCTAAAAAGATTCGTTAATTTATAGTCTTTTTAATAGCCTATAAATTTTTTTTTTTTTTGTGTTGAGTAGAATTCCTCCTTACTCTGATTATTATTTTTTTTAAGGATTATATTACAACTTCTTTCTTTATAGGCCATCCAAATAGGATAGCCATCAAGGTAAAGATTAGACTATTTAGATCAAACGATTCATTTCTTAATCAAGATTTGAATCGACGAAAATGAAATAACAGTTTAAGTGCTTAGTAAAAAAAAGATTTCATTGTGCATAAAAAAAAATCATGTATTTGAAATTTGAATTGATACTCCCCTAAATCTTATTTTAGCTTTTTTTTAAATTCGTTAATACTGTATATATAACGATAATAATAATCTTTATAATAATATCAATAATATCTTTAGATAGCTAATTTTATATCGTAAATTTTATATCTTATTCTTTTCTCTTTCTTGCATTAATAAGAATATATTTATCTCTAATATTGTCTAATAATATTATAAATTATTACAAATTACAATTTTTTTTTTCAAGGATCCTCAACCACTTTTTCGGACTCCTCCCCCTCTCCCCTTCATTACCTTTTTCTTTCCTCCAGTAAACTAAACCAAATCAAATATACCCTACAAAAACCATGGATATCCTTCGCTTTAAAGTTGACCACCTTAAATTATTGTGGTCAGAATATCGAATTGCAAACGAGTGCGTTGACAACGAATACGGTGATCAGTCGGAGTGGGCGCGAGAAAAATTACAAGTAAATTTTTAATACCATGTTTTTATTAGGTCGCCTTATTACTTTTTCATTAATGTCTCTTTGAAATATAGAGAGTATTTTCAGAACTTGATAAACTTATTCAAGAACAACTTCTTTGGAAGTCAAAACTCGCTGCCGAGATAGAAGACTTACTGGTATAATATATCAATGATAAATACATATTCATATATGTTTATATTTTTTTTTAATTTAATTTTAAAAATAATACTTTCGCGTTTTTTTTTTTTAAAGGTGGAAATAGATGATCATTGTCGAATATTTGGTCGAAGAGTCGACATTGTCATACCACAAGCT